GGGGGTGGGGAGGGGCGGGGGGGGGGGGCAGCACCTACTCAAATTAGAACCGCACCTGGCCAATCAGAGCTTACACAGAGCGACTGCTAAAACCAGTGCTGACACAGGTGTACACAAAAACATTTTCATTTTAACCTCCCTCCCTCCCTGGGTTTCTTCAACTCCTCCTGCTTCATTACTAGCCCCTCCCTGCGGCGACCGTGTCTCTCCCCGATGCTCCTCCTCCTCCTCCTCCTCGTCCTAGCTGTCCATCACCCAGCGGCTGGTTGGCACAGAGCTGACTGAGAGCATACAGCAGATGGTGCGATGCTGTCTGTGTGGCAGGCCACTAGCAGGACACCCAACAGCCCCTCCTTTCCCTCCTTGGTCCTCTGACTCCCCCTGCAATCCCTGCTCCTTCCCTGCCACACCACCTCCAACACACACACACACACACATACATACACGCCCTCCAGCATCACTCCAGCCCAACCAGGTCACCTGCTGCCGAGCTTAAAACAGCTATGGCGCACACACAGAAACACACACAAAACACAAAATGAAATATTTTATGGTACCTGCTACATTCAAAGGAGGTCACACATATGGCACCATTACATGCACGGATTCCCCCCTTATACTCTTTGCCACACTCCAACCGACATCAAGATGACAAGAAATTTTATTGACATTCACACATACACTCTCACTCTCACCTCGCTCACACACTCCCTCCCTCTCTGGCTCTCTCTCTGTCTCCTATAGAGACAGTTTGGTTAATGAAGTGCAGCGTTTCTAGCCTGGTCAGCAAGTCAATATACTGTACTTACAACCTTCATCACGAAGCAAACGTATAAATATTACATCCTTATTTGCAATAACCTGGTCAGGCCACTTACAGGGCGCAGTGAATCCAACAGGAGCTCATGTGCAACATCATAAGCCGACTCAGTGAAGCAATACGAAAATATACAGTTTTGTATATACTGCATAAATAAATGAACACGGAATACATACAGACAGACATGAGCGGTGTTTAATAAAACTTCACAATATTAATATTTAATACGTACCTTGCGATGATGGAGCAATGTTGCTGAAAGCTACAGCGCAAGTAAAGATGATCCAGACTGCAAGAGCCATGTTGGAGGCTGACCAGGGGGCAGGGCAAGGGGCGGGGCTAAAGCGTAGCGGCGGTAAGCAGGCACAGGTGTGTGGGGTGGCACTTCCTCAGCTTACACCCTCCCTGAGGGTGATCCTGCAGGCAGAGAGGGACAGAAATAACAGACAGGTAAATAAATGCCCGATAAAAATATTGTATCTGTCTGTGCAGAGAAATGATGCTACTGTTCTGTTTTTCATTCTCTCCCCTCTCAGTATGGCGCTTGAATTAGATAATGTTGGAATATGTGATGGTTACTCTCGTGACTGGTACACCACACTAAATGTTTCATCAGAGAGGAGGAGAGGAGAAGCTCCCCCTGTGGTGGTCAGGTAGAATGATCAAACAGGGAGATCTGAGGCCATTTTGTGCAGGATGGCATGGCAACAGCTGTTGCCACCACCAGCTCATCACTCCACAGTGCTTGAACGCTTGATTGAATCAGACATGCTACATATGTTTTGGGGCTGTTAACAGTGCTATATTCAACATGTGAAAAATACATGTCTCCTGTGTGTGTGTGTGTGTGTGTTTGCGTACGGGCATGCACACAAAGTGAGACAGTGAAAAGTGGTGACTCAGTCAGCAGTGCTGTAGGGCTCACACATCTCATTTGCCTAATGAAATAAATCACCCAAAGGAACTTGAGCTCTGATTTTTTGACAGTGGAGCCTGCTCTGGCCCTCCAGGGGCTAAAAGACAGAAAACAGTAGAGACGGTATTGTTCGAGCTAATACTCCTCCTGCTGAGCTTGCTGATGAAACAGACAGATTGGACTGTGTCTGTCTGTGTTTGTGTGTATTTGTGTGTGCTTGTGTGTGCAAATTTTTTTTTTTTTTGGGAGGGGGGTGTTGAGAGGATTTCCTTTGATCTCTCTAACCCTCTATCCCCTTTATATGATTGATCCTACCAACTTAGATTGTTGTAGGGCATAATATAATAGATTAATCATTCATACACCCCCCCCACTCTCTCTCTCTCTCTCTCTCTCTCACAAACACAGACATACACACAAGTTCAGCTTCTTGTACTTGTGTTGGGTTCACGAGCCTCCGGTCCTTTTCAAACCTCAGTAATTCAAGAAATCCAGATGTCCCCCATTTCATACAGCCTTAAATAAAGTATAAATCAACATCATTCAACATTCAGGGTTAGAGACAGCATTTTTCCACATTATAGCAGAATATGTGATGTTCTCAAACACTGTGGAAAAAAAATCTAACAATAGTTCAAAGGAAATATTTGGAGCAATAGGTATTGAATTTATAACAGTAATGCTAATCTTGATTCTAAACTAAAAGTCAGGCACTTAGAATAGTACTAGAATAGTAGAAAAAAAAAAAAGTCCCTGAATTTTTTTATTTTTTATTTTTATTTGTCATACTTGTATGTTTGCTCAGGAGCGAACACACACAACACCACACAGACACGGCCAAGCTCTCTTCTCCTGGCAGCTAAGATGGCAGGTCCTGAGTGACTGGGTGGCTTCACCCCCTCTCGTCATCAACACTGATTTGGCTTCCCCTCCACCTCTCCAACCCCTCCCTCTTCCTGACCTTCTCTGATATTTACCCTCCTCCCCAGTGGCAACGCCCGGCCCACAGCCACCGACCTGCCTGGGTGCCGCTGTGTGTGGATTAGTATGTTGGATGACGTGGAGTGCGAGCAAGACAAAGTGCGAGAGAAGGGGAGGGCAAACAGTGAAGAGGGAGAGAGAACGAAGGCGGAACACGGAGTACAAAGAATCATCCGCAGCAGCTGTTCTTTACACCAGGGTTTATTTCTATCATACGCACAACACGCAAACACACAAACACACACGCAAAACCTCTGTGCTAGTGCAGCCTGTGCTTTAATTTGAGTTTGTTTGCGACCACCCTCTATGACCAGCAGCTGAGAGAAAAGGACACGCTCAGAGGGAGGGCAGAAGAGACAAAGAAAGAGTAGAAAAGCAGTAAACAAATAGCAATAGACATGTGATGTAGTACTGTAGAAGCCTTGGCTGCTCTGCTCTCTCTCACGGCCTTTTACTCTCCTGCTCCCTCCTCTCTCTCCACCCTCCGCCATCTCACTGTATTATTAATGTTCAAAACGTGATCCCCTCCTGTGCAGTGACAGGGCTTCGTTTTTTTTTCTCCAACTTTTGTGGTTTTAATAAGAAAAATCTGTCTTTCCTCTTGTTTCTTTTGACGCTGCCTCTGTCTGTACTGGTCAACAATAGGTCTCCTGTGGTCTCAGAAGATGAGGAAGGCCGCGGAAAGAGAGCAGGGAGGAGGAGGGAGGGCAGATTTGGGGATTGAGGGAGGGAAGGAGAGAGGGAGAGAAAAGTGCCGGGTGGATAAATTGATTTCATTTTGTGACAAAAAGAAAGCTAGCATTACACAACACTCAATTTCAGTGTGGTAGGAGGGGAGAAGAGAAGGAATGAAGGAAGGAAGTGAGGATGGGTGGAAGCCAAAGTGAAGGAGAGAAGAAACAAAGGGATGATAAAACAAAAGAATGAGGGAACAAAAAGAGGGGAAGCATCATGCATCCTGAGTAACTAATAAACCCAGAACAGGAGCAAAGGAGGTGAGGAACAAATGAAGTAAGTGATGGGTTGCTTTCTGTATAACAAGAATAAATAAGAAGGAGTGGGAGGGGAAACTGCTGAAAATAGCCAAGTGAGAAGAGCAAAGGAGTAGTAAGAAAGCAGCACGTAATGGCAAAGGAGAAAGTATTTCTTCTGCCTGCGTCTATGAGTCAGTCTGCCTCTGGGTAGAGGAAGGTTAGGAGTCTTTGGAGGGTGTGAGATGGGTGTCTTCGCCCTCCATGCTCTCCCTACTTGGAGGATGTTACGTGCCCGAGGCCAGAGGCTGACCTTTTGCACTGATCACATCCACCATTATTATCATCACTGTTTCTCTTCTAATAGAGCAGAACATCATATCCCTATGAGACGGGAGCCCACCAAATGGGAGAGCGGACAGCAATTTGGACTGCACTGGTGGAGAGGTGAGGAGGGCGAGCAGGGGAGAGAGAGAGAGCGTGACAGTCAGTGGTATCAGCACAAAGACAGACATGTGGCTGTCTAAACGGAGCGGCGGTGGAGTCACACTTAAGTATACAGCTCTGTCATCTTGTTTCTAACGCTACCCTCTGTTTCTTCAGCTATTAATTTACAGGCTGCCTTGATCCAAAGCAAATAACCTCATTATCTACTTCTATTGGATCATTACGATAATCACCACGATCATTAGGATCTGTTTGCTTTAGCAGACACGCTCATCAAGAACAGGGTGTCATAAGTCCTTTTTTATACGGGGTGGGGGGTACTGTAAAAGGCTGCGTATGTCTGTCACGAGAACTACTCATGTTTACCCCGTCATGCAAATCATTTCTGTGCAGAAGAAAGAGGCATTTAGGAACATTACCTGACCAGAATCAAAAGGAGGGAGAACAAAGAGTTTACATAGACAATTTTTGCTGCATAATTAGAAAAGCTGGTGCAACTCTCAGAGCTGCTATACGGCTTCAGACTTTCTCCTGTGTTTCTCCCACTGAGGGGAAACCGATATCAAGGCGGGAAAGACACGTATGATAAGTGTGAGTCGACTAGGTGTGTGTGTGTGCATGTGTGTGTGGCTGGCCAGCCAACGGTCAGGTGAGGCTATAGAGCCACACTACTGACTGGACTATCACTGCAGCTTTAAAAGTGAATTTCAGACAAAAGAAATTTGCCAAAGATGCTTTGCACACATTAAAACGCTCTGGAAACTGCTAACGTCTTAATAAGCATTTCAATACATTTGAAGATGAAGTATGTTGTATGAACAAGTGAAAATCATGCAGGGCAATGGGGGGCAGAGCGGGGAGCGGGAAAACACAAACACACAAATTTATTCGGTTGGGAAAACACTCATGATTGATTTAAAGATTTGACAGTCATAAATTATGACGGTCAGTTTCTTCATGCAAAGAGAAGTCTTTGCATCTGAAGATGAAGCACCAGCATTTCCCATGCTATTAGGATTGATGTTTATGCCTCAGATGCTTCAACAACAAATAGTTGGTTTAGTAGCAAAGCTCCCACTATGAAGGAAATGATTGGCTCCTAGCAACCGGCTCAGTCGAGTGTGCAAAACTGAATGGCAATCACATCTCACTTAGAAATCAGAAAGTGATGCAAACTGCTGCATTAAATATTTGTAATCAAGTAAAAAATTCAGTTGAAATAAACATCCAACATCCACTTAAATTGGAATAAACTGCACACAGCCACATTGTTTTATTCAGTGCTGTTGGGATTTGGTATCAGTCACACGTCTGAGACAGACACTTTATTCCAAAAGGAAAGTATCACTAGACTCAGTGAAGGCTAGCCATGTAGTATTAGAGTTTGATGAGACTGCAGAGAATGACAAAAACGTATGCTTCGCCTGGGGGCCTCGAAGTAATTCTCCCTCTGACTCATTGGTGCTGAAGCTTTGTCACACTCCATACTCTTTTGTACTCTCCTGAGTTAGGCAAGAGGGAGTAATACATGGAAGTGTAACAATAAATGAGGATGTGACAGAATTCATTAATTACTTCTTCACCTCCATAAAACTAATCACTTGCCAAAGTGAATATAATTATCTTAGTTTTTCTTTCGAAACGTAACAGACATACCATGAAATATCATTACCATCGCCATCTGCGAGCGAGCTTTGCTGAGTGGGAGGCTGTGTTTTTACTGTCAAACCTGCCTTCCAGGATGCCGAGGTATGACAGTTGAATTTAATTCAATGATTATTCAAATTAGCCAAAGTGATGATTTGGACACACTTCCACTTGCAGTGTGTGTCAAAATCAGCCATTAACACAGAGCGCATGGAATCAGATCAGTCTGATTATGAGACAGTGTTTGCCTCAGTCACTGTGCTGAAAGTGACATCAAGGGCAAAAGCCTGGCACAATCTGATGCCATTATCTATGAATTTCAACAGGAAACCATGACAGT